AAAAGGTCATCTCTCTTTTCCTAACGCCATTTCTCTCTCACCCCGGTCCCACAATGATAGGCAATCTTGGCTAAGTATGGTTGAAAGAGAAACCAGAGATTCTTTGTTTTCTTGAATACGGTTGTAAGATGAACTTGAAATATCATCCACAAAGTAAAAGTTGTATTTGCTCTGACATCAGCATGAAAAAAATGAATTAAATATTTCTGAGGCTTAACACAAAGCTTATTAAAGGGGCACCTGAGAAAATATCATCATCACTCAAAAGAGCTATAACTAAAAATAACGTAGTGTTAATGTTTTGTTTTTGTCATTGGTAAATCCAATGATTGAATATGTTTCTAATGTCTTTTTTTCATGTTTTATGAAGAAGAAAAAAAATTAGAGGAAGAAAAGCAAGCACAAATGATATGTGTTATGGATTTTTTGTAGTACGGGAAGAGGAAGTCCCTAGTGAGTCATGTATATACACGGTTTAATTTGAGACTTTTGGGTATTTCCTGCTATAACAATTGTTGCCTACCTATGCTCAAGTGAATTTATTTTGGGCAAACTGCCAAGTGTCTGAGCATTGTACCAAATCCAAAAAAACACCCACATGGAAAAAATCCAGTTCAATAAAAATGTAAATTTACAGGTACTTTTTAGGTTCAAAGTCCAAGTTTATAGCAGGAAACATCACATGTGGTCAGCTTCAATTTCATATTTTGAGTATATGCTGAGTATATGCCCTGCTATAAAAATGTAATTGTTGTGTGTACTAATTGTTGAATGTGTATTCGCAGAAAATTGCAATGTTGCTGGATGGAACATTTTATAATAGCAGAAGTCCATCGTGTTTCTCATCATTAGATCTGTCTGTCTTTCTTACTTACTGTTACTGATGAGGTCACCTAAATCTCCTGAAAGAAATCTCTTTCTTCACGTATGGGAATGCCAGTTGCTAAACCTGTGAATTCTCCATGTGCCCTAATTAAAACACCAACTTTGAAGAAAGGAATGAGAGCGAGATAATCTTGCTACTGTGGACATTACAGCCTAGATAAACCAAACTTCTGCTTGATGTCCTGGTCAGTATAAATGGTGCAGTAAGAACACAATAAAAACCATTGTGTGCTTGCTGAATTATGTAACTTAACCAACTTAAAGGGAAACTTTACTCACTATAACCACTACAGAGTACCTAGCGTCTCCCAACGTAAGTAGTTAAACTGTTTGCTAGGATCTAAAAGTGCTCACTAGAACCACCAAAGAAATGTTAACTGCAAGTAATTACAAACCTGCGACTAATGGCTATTATAGCTGCATTATTTAAAATGCTACTTTACCAAAAAGTGGGTTAACCTATTTAGTGCTGCAGAAGAAAATGCCAAAGAGCAGCTCACGGCTGTGTCACTAAAAGGAAACAAACAAATACTAAAATACATTTTAATAACAAGAGTGGACTTGTAATGGGTACCCAAGTGAAAAAGAAAAACAAGCAAATTAAAAACCAACATGTTCCTGGAGAGTGTCTGGAACTCCCTTGAACCAAATATGTAAGGTATCCTTGCCTGATAATGCACTCTGATTGGTACAAGTGTCACAAAGAAAGAAAGTAAAAAAATATAGTAAAAAAGTGTTTTTATCATTATGGATAATGACCCAAGTGCATTTTACAAAAAATAAGTTCATATAGCAGATCTGTTTTAAGGTAGTCCCACCAAAAAAATAAAATTCTGTGTGCTACTTAGTAGACAGGAGACTTGGCTTACTCGACTATATTTCAGCATTCTAACACAGTAACCCAAACTAAACTGATATTTAATCACTTCGATGGTGTCCAGGCTTCTGTTATCAATAATCTCATGTTGTCTCGATCTCAGTCTACATCGACAGACATTGTTTTATGGGCTTTAAGTGCATTTGCCAATAAAATGTACTTCTCCTTATAATATATCTAACTCGAAGTTGCATTTTGGGTAGAAATCATTCAGTATTCTTTTGCATTTTCAGTAAATTAAATATTATTATTATTGTTTTAGCCAAGTCCAAAAGACAGCTTCATACACGGAAATAATCTGTCAGATGCCAAGAAATCGAATTCCTTGGGATGTTTTCTCAGGCTTGAACTGACTCGCTTCATCAGATATTTCCACGCGTCTAAAAACAGAGAGAACTATTGAGAATAATGGTATATAAATCATAGTGAACGCCAGACTCACACGAATGTAAATACACCTAGAAATTTGGAGGACAACCTCTACTGGTCATGACGGAAATGTTTCAAGTGTTATTCTACAAAACATACACTATAACAGGTACAGTGTATCCATTGGGACATACAAAGACACTCTAAGGAGCTCCAGTCTATAGGGTGCACATTTCTCACTCATCCCAAGACATTTTGTTGAACACAATTTGAAAGTTGAAAGTAAATAGCATGGAAATCACAGTTCCTCCAGGACTCCAAGAATTCTTGGAATTACTTTTTCATGTTAGCTTTTTACTGTTCCAGGTACTCGACTATCCATAAACATTATAAAAAAAGGCTTGAGCGTTTATGGCTATAGAAAAATGGAAATAATATGTATCATACCTGCCTAGTCAGCAGCAATTCATAAACATGGCACAATGTCTCCTCCTCTGTGTAAAATAAAATGATCAAACAATTACCTCTCAATTCAGGGACACTAAAAAGCCAGCCTTATGAAATCATAATATAAAACAAGTAAACTTTACGACAGCTATTTCGAAGCACAACTTTTACCTCTCCTTCCTGTTCCTTCGGATGCCTGAAGGAAATATATATATATTTTTGTAATTCTTTATTTTATTTAAGCTTAGGGTAAACAAGCAGATTTGCACTGCCACAACAGCTGGTGCGACATATAATTACAGTAGTGTGGCATCAAGAACATTGCACTTTTTTTTAACAGAGGTTATAAACCGGGTTAAAACGCAAGCCTACGTGTCATATCAATTAACAGTAAATGCTCGTATGAATGTGGGATGGCATGTAGGTGTGAGGATTTCGGGTGTCAAAATTTAATTGTGAGATTCTATATTTTTGGTGGGCAAATGAATTTGGTAAAGACAAACATACTCATTATTGTAGAACTGTTACAGCATTTGCTATTCCAGGTAGACAAACAATGCCCTATTTTAAATGATACAACAATACTGGTAGGAGCTGATGCATAAGGGGAGATATTGGTAAAAGCATAACAACGTGTTTTACATTCAGTTATTATCACGTGGTTGTGTTGGTGTATGACGTAGTAATGATAATAATGGAGCTCTGTATCCCTGAGCTAAGTGGGGGGGGGGAGGTGGGAGCAAGCGGTATCCACCGCAGTTGGACAGAGTAAGATTAGCTGAGTGCTTGCATTACTTTAAAGAGGGTTACAACTTAAGCAACCACAGAGGGCACTTAGTTAGGGTAACAAAACATAACTTAAAGAACATTATTGATGGCAAGATATGCCCAATATGCAAGACGGCTCATCCTGTGTCCGTGGCAGAGCGTGGGACAAAAGGGGTAATTGCTGAAATGTCCCAGGTCGTGGTGGTCCCTGTGTTGGGACTGGATATGCCCAAGGACAGCAGAAAGGTAACTGAGTTAGCCATGGTGGTGAGTCTATAAGTGTTGCCTTCTTTAGTGGCCGAAAGCCAGTGAGCTGTCCCCCAGCGAAATGGAATGTTGGCTGCCCTGAGTAGCTTTGTGATAAGCAGGTAGGATCAGCCCCATTTCAGTGTCTCAATCACCAGCTTTGTGTCACGGAATGATGAGAAGCAGACCAGCACATCTCTAGGCACACCTGCTGGTTCTTATTTGAGGTAGGTAAACAGTGACAGCTTTCAGTTAGCAGTGATTTGGCTTGTCAATGGGGAAGAATAGTTGCCATCTTCTAACGAAGTGTGGTAGTTCATCGTCCTACACCGTTTTAGCGATGCCCCGGAGCTTTCAATTTTTGCAACTAGGGCATCTAGGCGATTAGCCATCCTTTGCTGCGAAGACTGTGTGACGGACCACCTGGCACCCCGACCGGGTACCTCCATCAATCGCTGCTTTCTAGTACTTGCAAGCACCGTAAGCACTCTACTGGAACACCATAACCACCATGAACCCCACGCCGCAGCTTGGTTGGGGTCTCGCTGTCCTCCATCCACCCTGGACCCAAAACCAGGATCCAGCTTCCAGTGGGTAGACCTTTCCTAGTCCAGAGAGCGTAGCAGGAGCAGCTCTTATAAGAGCTAGTGATTATACTCAGGGGAGTATTGTGATATAGCAATCCCCAGAGTGAATGTAGTTCTCCAATCCCCCAAACATGAGCCAAGACTTCATGAAGGTGTAAACAAATCTCTTTAATGGAGCCACACTGGCCTTTTATGCAAGTCCCCAAGTAAGGCGTACGCCCACATGGACCTTGTTGGGGACAGGGACACAAACTTACAAACCAATAATAACACATTTACAATGTAAGGCACTCCCACACATGGCATACAATCCTTAGCCTCTGCCTGGGAGATAATTTAGTCAGATACTGTATTAACACAATTATCTCCAGGCAGAAAAAACACATATTTTTCAAAACCCCAAAAGTACCCACAAAACACATAAAATCCCCACAATAGCCCTGATCTGGGTGACCAATATATCCAAAAATCACCCAGATCAGTTCAGGGGTTCAGTAATTCTATCGAACTCTTATGGTTTCATGCCAAAAACAGTTACAAAAAATCAGGCTGTGCGGCCAGTCTACTTCGAGGATTCAAAATAACGTTCAAAATACTGAACGTAGCCATTCGTGAATAAAGTCAGTGTATGTTCAGGAGTTTCTTCGAAAGTTCAAATTGTCCCTGTTATAAGTCCAAGAGGCACTCTCCAGAGTCTTTAACCCAAAGTTCATTACAGGGGCCATAGTCACAGGGCAAGAGGCTGGCAAGTATGCCCCTCCAATAACCTGTGATGAGGTCCAGCCTGTAGTTGGGCCAGCACTGAAGAATGCTCTTATGTTTTATATCAGCTCCAGTATATCCCCCCTGGTGAACAGGGTGTTGAGGTCTTCTGTAGACCAGGGAGTGTTAAGGCCCCCTGTTTCTGAGATAGTGTCTGGAACATCCAGGAGTTCCTCCTCTGAAGAATTGGAGGTACTAGGCTCCCGCCGTGCTGCCATCTTGGGCCTAGGTCCCCGCTGCAGCAGTTCATCTATGTCGCGGGATCCCTCACATGACAGGGCTTTGAGCTTCTTGTGTCTCTTCCCCATACCGTCTGTGAGGAGTCAGACAGGTAAGTTGGGTGTTTGGCTGGAGAAAAATAGATGTTTGCTCAGTAATCAGCTCTGTATCGTCAGAGATCAGGAGCCACGCGACTGCTCACCTTGCTGTCTAAGCCACGCCCTCGAAGGAAATATATTTTTGAAGAAGACAAACAAAATCTTTAGACACTATCAGCGATAACTGCAGGGAATCGGCTGTGTCTATGAAGGATCCTGTGGTCTCACGGAATCATCCATAAACCTTCATGCTGTACTCTCGCGCAAGTGCAAGAGTACAACAGTGATGTCAGCTCCTGGCGGTTCAGCACGACCAAGATGGCGGTGCCCATTAGTGACATATTCAGGTAAGTAATTTCACCTTTATCTGCCACCCTGGTCACCAGACCACCAGCTGCCATGTCATCTTCTGGGGACTTTACTATTTTGGTGACAGTGCCGCTTTAATTCAAGTTAATCAGAACCTGCTAGCAGCACTCTTGTTCTCTCAAAGGAGGAGAAATTACTGAGATTTATATTATCATAGAGACACATACATTCTTTTTTTCTATCGTATTATGACGTGGGACGGATAGTTTAAAAAAATATAGGGCGCATTTAACCCTTTGCTTTTGACCTTGCAGGTTAATGTGGACAGCAGGTGATTCAATTGGGAGGATATAATGTTGGTCTGAATCACAGGCAGGAAGAAACCATAAAACTGTACGCCTGAGGCATGAAATAACAGCATTAGGCCAGAAAACATTCCAGACATTTCCCACTGCTGAGATGTTCTGTATGAGGTTTCTCTCCTGTTACGGAACTGCAAGTATATCCATGACAGGGAATACCATGTATGTATGTAAAAGCAAACCAAAACAGCATTTAAGAAGATGATATTATGCATCATTAAGGTGATACATTGCATAATAATGTTTTGAATAAAATGTATTAGCAAGCAAACTAACTGAATTGCAAGACAGGGATAGCCTTTTAAATGAGGAATTTTGCTAGTATTACTCAATACACCCTCTTAGAACTCATCGTGTTGCTGCATATAACCTCTCCCTATAACTCCTTCTATTACTCCATATAACCTCTCCCTATAACTCCTCCTATTACTCCACATAACCTCTCTCTATAACTCCTCCTATTACTCGATATAACCTCTCTCTATAACTCCTCCTATTACTCCATTTAACCTCTCCCTATAACTCCTCCTATTACTCCATATAATCTCTCCCTATAACTCCTCCTATTACTCCACATAGCCTCTCTATATAACTCCTTCTATTACTCCACATAACCTCTCCCTATAACTCCTCCTATTACTCCATATAACCTCTCCCTATAACTCCTCCTATTACTCCATATAACCTCTCTCTATAACTCCTCCTATTACTCCATATATACTCTCACTATAACTCCTCCTATTACTCCATATAACCTCTCACTATAACTCCTCCTATTACTCCATATAGCCTCTACCTATAACTCATCCTATTACTCCATATAACCTCTCTCTATAACTCCTCCTATTACTCCATATAACCTCTCCCTATAACTCCTCCTATTACTCCATATAACCTCTCTCTATAACTCCTCCTATTACTCTATATAACCTCTCTCTATAACTCCTCCTATTACTCCATATAACCCCCTATTACTCCTCCTATTACTCCATATAACCTCTCCCTATAACTCCTCCTATTACTCCATATAGCCTCTCCCTATAACACCTCCTATTACTCCATATAACCTCTCTCTATAACTCCTCCTATTACTCTATATAGCCTCTCCCTATAACTCCTCCTATTACTCCATATAACCTCTCTCTATAACTCCTCCTATTATTCCATATAACCTCTCCCTATAACTCCCCCTATTACTCCATATAACCTCTCTCTATAACTCCTCCTATTGCTCCATATAACCTCTCTCTATAACTCCTCCTATTACTCCATATAACCTCTCCCTATAACTCCTCCCATAACCCCTTGTAACCTCTCCTTATAACTCCTCCTATTGCTCCATATATCCTCTCTCTATAACTCCTCCTGTTACTCCATATAACCTCTCCCTATAACTCCTCCTATTACTCCATATAACCCCATGCTATAACTCCTCCTATTACTCCATATAACCTCTCTCTATAACTCCTCCTGTTACTCCATATAACCTCTCTCTATAACTCCTCCTATTACTCCATATAACCTCTCTCTATAACTCCTCCTATTACGCCATATAACCTCTCTCTATAACTTCTCCTATTACTCCATATATCCTCTCTCTATAACTCCTCCTGTTACTCCATATAACCTCTCTCTATAACTCCTCCTATTACACCATATAACCACTCCCTATAACTCCTCCTATTGCTCCATATAACCTCTCCCTATAACTCCTCCTAATACTCCATATAACCTCTCTCTATAACTCCTTCTATTACTCCATATAACCTCATGCTATAACTCCTCCTATTACTCCATATAACCTCTCCCTATAACTCCTCCTATTACTCCATATAACCTCTCTCTATAACTCCTCCTGTTACACCATATAACCTCTCCCTATAACTCCTCCTATTGCTCCATATAACCTTTCCCTATAACTCCTCCTATTGCTCCATATAACCTCTCCCTATAGCTCCTCCTGTTACTCCATATAACCTCTCTCAATAACTCCTCCTATTACTCAATATAACTAATCTGTTTCATGCCACACACTTTATTTTGTTTCATGTTCCCAGTCCTTTTGCTTCAGGTCACCACTCCTGTTAATCTGTCTATGAAGCATCCAATGTACTTATTTTTCTCTAAACACTCAAATCTTTTTAACTGAGTCTAGTACAAAAAGTATTCATGTGGTTGCCAACAAAGCCGTGGTAGACAATTATCACTGTCTGAATCTCCTGCCCACAATAAACAGAAAAGAGCCAATGCACAAGTTGTGATATGTACCCTCTGCATTGTACACTCACAGCCAATCCCATGTTTGTATCCACAGAACAATTCTATAAAGCTATTGTTTTCCTATTACACATGGATAATTGTTATTACACTGATCTCCCCAGGCATAAAATAATTGTCTGACTGAGAACAAACACACTTTTATTTTCTTCATATTTATAAATTGTAGCAATGCCTGGACAGAGAAGTGGGGAAAAGAGAAAAGCGGGAAAGGGAAAGAGTATGGATAAGGGGAATTGGAGCTCCTTCAAAGAATACCAAAGAAAAAATATACAAACTTTTCCAAAGAGCCACCAGTAGACATCTGATGGCTAGCAATTTGTTTCAATAGAGAGAATAATTGTTTGTGTAGACTTGCAGTTCAATATATGAAACAGACTGTGATTTGTGCAAGAGACACCTTCCGTCGATGAAGGCTAGTAGGTATTTTCGCTATACAGTACGTAACCATTGCCATAAATATCTGGATGGTGACCAAGCACCCTTAATGGTGACCAAGCACCCTTAAGGACCAATCTTCTGGAATAAAAGGGAATCATGACATGTCACACATGTCATGTGTCCTTAAGGGGTTAAAGACCAACACTGTTACACTTTTCTGGAATCGAATGCCATGTGTACTTATCACTGGCTGCTCAGAGACCCAGGTCTCATTAATTGAGGAGGTCAATCCATGTTAGAGTAGGGGTGTTAGAATGCCATAACATGCCATTGATCCTTAAAGAGACATTATAATCACCTAAACAACTTTAGCTTAATGAAGCAATTTTACTGTGTAGATCATGCCTCTCAGGTTTTACTGCTCAATACACTGCCATTTAGGAGTTAAACCACTTTGTTTCTGTTTATGAAGCCCTTGCCACACCTTCCCTGGCTCTAATTGACACAGCCTGCATGAAAAAAAAAAACTGGTTTCACTTTCAGATGTAATTTACCTTGGACAATGTTATCTCCTCCTCTGTAAATATAACTTTAATCACATAAAGGAGGCTCTTGCATGGTCTAGCAAGATATTAACATAGCAGGGGATAAGGAAATCTAAATTAAACAGAACTTGCAATAAAGGAAGGATAAACATTAGATGGCTTTTTACAGGAAGTGTTTATGGAAGGCTGTGCAAGTCACATGCAGGGAGGTGTGACTAGGGTTCACAAACAAAGTGATTTAACTCCAAAATGGCAGATAATTGAGCACAGAGACTGCAGGGGCATGATCTATATGGCAAAACTGTTTCATTAAGCTAAAGTTGTTTTGGTGACTAAAGTGTCCCTTTAAGGGTGAAAAGGCCCAATTATCAAATTGTGCCAAATAATGTCCTCAATGGCAGAGAGTTATGTACTTCTCTCCTACAGTTTCATTTGCATACTGTTGGGACTTTGAACTTAATGAGTAGAAGGAAAACTGTAAACACTAACCAAGTGGAACCAAGAGTGTACTGCCACTCTACTAGGGTCAGTAGTCAAGCCATTTGAAAACTGTCTGAAACAAGTGTTTGGAAATCTATTCATAAACAGAACTATACATAGGACACAAGATCACCCATTTAGACTGGAAGAATAGAGATTTAGTCTAAGGCAAAGAAAGGTTATTTTACAGTAAGAGTAATAAGGATGTGAGATTCTCTGCCTGAAGATGTGGTTTTATCAGAGTCTGTACAGATTTTTAAACAGCGACTGGATAAATTCACGCAAAAGCTTAATTTTCAGAGATATTATTTTTAATTAGTGAGGTAATAGTTTGTTCATCGAAGGAGATATGTGATTGCCATTCTGGGGTCAAAAAGATAATTTTTTTTCTTAGTGTGTTTCAAAACTAGAAAGCACTTCAATCTGTTTTTTTGCCTTCTTTTGGGTCCACAGAAAAGGCAGATGTGAAAAATAATGGACCTAATGGACAAAATAGTTTTTTTTTTAGCCTTTGTAACTATTGTAACTTACCTGGGGTCACTGGTCACAACCTGTGGAGATGGAAAGCTAGCAATCTCCTTCTGACTCAATGAATGAGCACTTTCAACCAATGAGCTAAGCCCTGCCCCACTGGGCA